TTTTATCACACATTTTCAATTGTGGCTCACCTGATACTAATTATTTTCAGAACTTTAAAATGGGTTTCCTGTTTCTTTATGAAGGCTAACAGCTTGAATGAGACCATTATAAAAGTCTCATTAAGATATTGTGGTTAAAAAAATTAAAATACATTATTCTTTGAATTTATACAGTAGATTAGCTCTTATACTTTATCTTACATATTTCATATAACAGATTATTTTGACATTCCAGCCACTGATTTTTGTGAATCTAATTTGTTGGACTGGAATCTGATTTTTGTTGTATCATGTTGTTATATGAATTCAAAGCCTATACTAAGAGCTTGAACATATGAAAACACTGAGTTCAGGCCAGTCATTGAACCTGATGATAACATACTCTGACCTGTGCAAATACACTGGGAGAGCAAAGTTAATAATGTTTTTCTTTGCTTTGTAGATTAGCGATTCGTATGTGTGATCATGAGACTTAATCTAAATGATAAGTGGAATATACAATTAATTTTATGTAATTCCATTCATATTCTAATTATATTAGAACAAAAACATACTTTACTATAAACCCAGTGATTTCAAGGGACCATAAGTATTGAGAAGTTTTCTCTACTTTCTAACCTCTTTGTCCAATATGTCTATCCTGTCAAGAAACAGGGGCTCTGTAGTTGGGAAACAGTTGGGATACGCCATGAATGGGTTACCAGTCCATCACAGGGCACACCCAGACACAAACATGCACACACTCACATCAGGGACAATTTAACAAGAAGCCAATTAACTTACAAGTATGTGTTTTTTCTGTGGGAGGAAACTGGAACACTGGGAAAGGACACAGAGAACATGCAGACTCCACACAGATAACACCCCAGGTCCAAAATTAACCCAGGGCCCCAGCACTGCAAGGCAACAATGGTAACCACTGCACCACCATGCTGCCCAGGAACACATTCATTTTAAGTCAATTGTAAAAGTTGATATTTAATTGCGTCTCTCCTTGAGGCAATGACTACACTATATGCATATCACACTGTTTGCTGTGTGTAACCATTAATGATACTTTGCTGCAGCCACTTTGAGTTTGTAGCTATTCATGGGATGTTCTGTTAACAGCCTCTGCAAACAAGAAATTGAAACTCCAGATTTAAACCCAACTGATCATGCTATTTACATTTTGCACAAAAAAGTAAGCAAGAACACCCAAAGAATCACGAGAAAAAATCATAAATAACAGTTTGACATTTCTATCTTCTATGCATTCAAAAAGCCATGTAATTGAATAGATCACCAAGAACTTTCAACAAAATGAAAAGCTTTTTAAATTCTTAGTGGTGAATGAAACATTATTAATTGTCATAACTGTTACATAATTTGTCATTTCCTTGGAAGTATAATTGATAACAAGGACATTTGCACTGACTTTAATTTTTTGCATGACTTTCATACTTGATACATTGAATGGTTCTTATCTTTAGAAATAGTCTCTGCATTTCTCAATCTATAGCCCCATCATCTATCTCTGTAGGTATTCCAGTATATTACCACGTACTGTAGATGCAGTAAACTTCATGCCATTCTCAAGATAAGTTCAAGGCCCACCTTTCTAATATGAGAATTCTTCTTTTTTTTCATGACACATATTCATATTAATCCATAGGTATTAACAGATACTTTGCTTCAGTTGTGTCACTATTCCTTGTCTGTAGATTTTAAAGGGTGTTAAAATACAAGATGTTCTAAATACTTTTAAAGGACTCCTGTAGATTGGTAATAATCTCAAATTTAGGTTCCCTTGGCATGGCACTTTTATGGTGAATTTCTAATCAACAGGGAATGTTGCATATTCTGCCAGCATGACGCTCAGTGCGCCTGACTCACAGATCTTTGGCTCTGGAATGGGGTACCTTCTGTGATACATGTTCTCCCTTTGTTAACGAGGTTTTTTTCTATGGTGATCAGGTTTTTTCCCACCTTCCAAAAACATGCTGGCTGAGTTAATTAAAGTCCCTAGTAGTCCCCGGTATGTGCCCTGCGATAGACCAGCATCATGTCCTACCTTGAGCACTATGTGCTTTTTAGGTATTCTCTAGGTACTGTATCTCCAGATCTTAGAAACATAAGAATGATTATGAGAAGAAATTATTACATTCATCTGGCCTGTTTGGTACAGTAGTTTATGGGTGATCAATTGATTGGATCAATTGATTGGTGTCCTCTGTTTTGTGTTACACTGTGTTTCAGAAATTCACTGGGTTGACTTTGGCAATGCCTGTAGGAATTTAGGGTACATTAATCCTTGTAACAAGAGCACTTCACTTCTGAGTACTTACTAAAACAAACATACACATACCTATTTTTTTAATTGACTTTTTTTAGTCCCCCTGTTAATCTAAGCTCCAAGCATTAGTTTGTTCTTTCATTTTCTTTTATCACTTCTTTTGGGTATTGTTGTTTTAACCAGTTTAACGGAAATTGTAAGGGTGTGATACTAGTTATAGTGTAGAATAATATTTTTAATGTATAATTTGTAAACATAATATTTATTCACATATTTTAACATTTAAAAAAAATGACATGTTTTATTTTGATTATGCACGCTATGAATGTACTGTACAGTATCAATCAAAATCACAAGACAGCTTAATGCTCTATTTCACTTTTGCAATTGTGGGTTTTATTTTATCTTTGACTGCACAAGATTTATTAACTAAACATAATAAACAATTTTTTTTAAGTAAGACATTTAGATTATTTCATTTTGTATTTATTGTATCATGCAAATGAGATAATGCAAATATTATTCCTCCACATAATTGCTTCATAATACATTTAAACATAACAGCTGGCATTAAAAAGATGTGCTGGTAAAATCTGCTTGTTGTAACATAAAAATGTATAGTGCCAATATATTCAAGTACATCCAAAAAGTCCTTTAATGAATGGAAAGAATCTGAGATTTTTTGGACATAGTGTTGCTTTTACAATAATTCACCAATGAGATAAACTGTGGAACCAATTTATGCTCATATAACAAAGGATTAGTGTACTTATATCAGGTCTCCTCACAGTATTTTCTGTTCAAGACAAGGTTCAAGTGCCTTCAGCCTGTCATGCTATTTCATTAAGACCAGGAATATAGCTGGCTCCTTTTGTCCACGCTGATTCCAAATTATGATCAAAATTATACACAATATTCTAAATGATTCTAACATAATTTACATTTTATGCTTTTAACAACATACACTAATATTTTTTGGCTTTATTTCTGCCCCACATTGTCTTGAAAATAATACATCACAAAATAAGTACAGTACTTGAGAAACGCTGCTTACATCCTATATATTTTTATGTATAAGATATTTTGCCTTGAATACAGAATGAAAAAAATTGATTTGGTAGACAAAAATGTATTTATACAATTGATTTTGTAAACAAAAATGTATTACATATTGCTCCATTTTCCTCCCTTGCTTCATTTTCCAGACTGACATCACTACTGTACATTGTGCTAATGTACTTTATGTGTGCCAGGTTATAGTGTTTTCTGCCTTGTGCGCTGTGTTTCAGTTATACGCTCTCAGTTGCCAGGCTTCTTAACTACCACATGCAAGGATGAAAAGAGAATGCATTTTCTGTAAGTGAAACTGCATTTCTCATCTATATTTAGATTATATTCTTAAAGCTATGCATTTTGTGAATATTGAATCTTTACATGCTTAAGAAGCTTTAGGCTTTTCAGACAGAAATTCTTTTATTCAAAGAGAATAGAGCACATGATACATGTTGGAATTTATCAGCCATGTGACATACAACTTCTTCCATCTGGTTTACACTTCCCAGACAGAATCTAAGAGCAAACTGAAGATATATGACTAAATACACAATTTTATGACCAAACAATAGCCACAGATCCAAAATATAATCGTATCAGTCATTGTTTTAAAACTGTCCTTTAAGTTGTGGGATTTATTCACAAATGTACTCACAATGACTCCAAGACAAAAGAGGTTCACTGTATTTTTACACAAAACAGTGTGATGCTGATAGTTTCACATATAGCACAGTACACAATTAAAAAACATACATATTTTACTTTAAACACAGTGATACATTTAAATATTCTAATGTAACATCTGATGTATGAAGTTTTTGTTTATTTCTCGATACATATTCAGTTTGGGTTTGCACAGTGGTGCAGCAGATGCAATGCAGTTTGCATTGCTATCTGGGTTCAATTCTGGATCTGCGGTGCTATCTGTGTGGAGTTGGTATGGTCTCCCCATGTTCACGTGGGTTTCATCCTGGTGCTGCAGTTTCCTCTCACAGTAAAAAGTCATACTGGTAGGTTAATTTGGTTCTGGAAAAAATGTTCCATAGTGTGAGTGTGTGCGTGTCTGTGTCCATGTGTGTCCTCGGTAGACTGATATCCCATCCAGTATGTATCCCACCGTGTGCCTGTTAGATGCTGTGGATATGCTCTGGGTCCCCTGTGACCCTGAACTGGATTCAGTGGTTGGAAAATGGATGGATATTCAGTTAGATGTGTTGTGCGTAATACTCTACTGTTTCTGATCTGTTTGCAATTGGTCATACCGAACGTCATATAATCTGTCAGTTATACAGTAGCTTTAGAATAAACGATTTGTGTTGGTCATAGGCAATTTTATAATTTTAAAAGGAATCGTAACAGTATCATTAAAGAGAGTGAAAATAAAATTCTCATTATCAACAACAATAAAACTAGTACAGGTATGTAGGAAATACTATTGATTCACATAGAAATAATGTATTTTAATTGAGTAAGAAAAATATTGTTTTCCCCTGAATATAATTGTTGAAGAAACATATTGCATTTAATACAAAAAAAACCCTCAAGAGTCCTTAAACATCAAAGAAGATTAAATAAGAAACTGTACAGTTATTATTTTTTGACATAGTGGCTCTAAAAACATTCACTGATGACTCAAATTAGTGTAATTGAGAACAAAATGCATTCTCTTGAATATACGTGCAAAAATTTATTTTATTTATTTTCATTTTAGGTAGAGCACATGTGAGCTGATTACTGAACAGTTGATATTTCTAGGTTATTTCCCAAGGTTAGGGTTTTGTATCTGGTTCATGTGTATCTTATAAATATACTGCAAACTAATATATTTATAAGGACATATCAGTAAAGGTGACAAAAGTAACTTTGGCTCTGACTCACTTCAGAGCATCTTTAACAACATGTCAGGAAAGCAGTTTAACCATGTAATCTGGAGAAATACATTTGAACAGCCTGTTTTTGAGAGAACAGGGCACATGTGTAAAAAACAAATTTACCAAAGCAGATATTAGAACATTGCCAAAACAAGTCATTAGATGATAGGTCATCCTATAGTGGTTGTATTGGAAAGATCAAACTCTCTCAAGTTTAATGCTTGACCCTATGAAAGGTATTCACAAGGTTGATACTTGTAATATGTGTGATAGTTCACATGATAATACATGAAACAAATTAATAAAGAAGAGCTACAAAAAATGTGCATAAGATGCTTCTTTTATGACTGACACACACAAATATTAGCTTTCCTTCTGTCTACATTTCTGTTTGTAGTTTGAATTCCTAGCTTTTTTACACAAATAACCCATTTCTAAAATCTAGCATCTTAAAATACTACTAGAATTATATGAATGATTTCCATGACCCTCAAATTTCTCAAATTTTAAAAAGGAAACAATTAAAAAGAATGATTAAAGATAAGGAGGATCAGAAATGGTGAGAGTTCAAAGAGCCCCAGGTACTATATGTAAATACACATTTCAATGCAAGGACTTAAGGTTACATGACAGGAGGCATGTACACAGACCAGAAACATGCTGGTAGGTTAATTGACTTCTCTAAATTGGCCCTGGTGTGAGTGTCTGCATGTTTGTGCCCAGTAATGGGTTTGTGCCCAGTAATTAGACTGGCATCCCATACAGGGTGAATCCCACCTTACGCCCAATGCTTCCTGGGATAGACTACAGGCCACTATGTCCCTCAATTGAATAAGTAGTAATTGAAAAGTGAGCAATATTTATATACTATTTGCACTACAAAATAAGATAAGTGACTTCGCCGTGGCACCATGGAACAACATCTCTTGGGTCAAAAGCAAAACTCAGGCCAAGAAATATTTAATTACAAGAAACGGCAAACATACTAGACAATCCCTTTACATTGAATTACAGGGATTAGATAATTGTAAAATTCCTTTTTTATCTGCATAGTCTGCTGTAGCAGTCAGGCATATTACTCCCACAGGCCACTGTGGTTGCCAACAGCAACACTGCAACATTGGTGTGAGAAAAAGTAAATGCAGTATTCCAGTGAATGAAACTGTGGTACAACAAGATTTCCTACCCGTTCAACAACAACAAAAAACCATTGCTTAGACCTGTTTGAAAACTGATGTAATTTTGGGGGGATATAAAAAAAAAGCTAAAGAAAGTAATACCCCATAAATACCATGTTTTTATCTTTAATAAAGATGAAACATTTTCTGTTTCTGTTTCATTGAACCTTCTTATGAAGGATTTATTTTTCATAAAATGAGCACCATATACTGTATTATCCATACAGTGCTCAAGCTGCCATTCTGGTCTTATGTAGGCATCACTTTATGGACCAGATGTCCAAATAATCCAATTTGCAGTTCTGTTGCATCCTACCTACTAAAAGAAAGCCTTTATCAGAGGAGGTCCAAATTACTGATTTCAATCTGTTGAAAAACTTAGAGAAAGAATTCAGCAAGCTTTGTGGCAGCTTTCTGAATAAGTAGCAGTAGGTCATTTGTGATTAATTTGGCATGTAGTATAGCCTACTATACTACACCAGGCCTTGTATCCTAGAGTAGAAACTGAAAAATGTTCTGGGTAGCTGTCCTGATCTATCTTACTAGGACCAAACTAAGAACTAGTAACAAAAAGGAAGGTGGAGAAGGGGAAGTAAAAAAAGAAAGCACATTTTTTCTGAAGGTATCCAACACACATTTTATATTTCTCTTCTCTCAGCTACAGTATACAAAAATGCAGCCGTTCTTGAGAAAATAAGAGACACTTACTTGGCATAACTCTGATAATTATAATTTGCCTGTGATAATTATAATTTCATTTGTATCACACACTCATAGATCAGGCATGTTTCTGATACACAGATTCCAAGTCGTCTTTGAGATAATCTAGTACTTATTTGGTGCTTCACTTAACTGGAACAGACGAGAGAGAACAAGAAATACTCTTTTATAAACCTACTGTATAATTTAGTGTCTGTTTGGTTGATTGTTACTCACAGGGTGGTGATAGATTGAAGCAGCAGCTTAGGATATGCCTTCCAAAATTAACAAACAGGAGCTATTCTAAGTCCTATAATTGTACATACAGTATCATTGTAATGTTTGAGAAACCTCACATAAAAATCTACTACATTTATATTTATACAGGAATACCTTGAATTAAATTTTTCATTAAGGACAAAGGCATATTTTTTATTTGAGTTTATTTGACTGCCAAGACATATTGCAGCCACAAAGTTTTCACAAACCCTTGCAATTAAGATTGTACTTGTTTAGTACATCAAAATGGAGAGCAAGCTGCAAAAAGACAAAGTCCTAATGCAAGAAATTGTATATGGCTAATAAAGTGATCTTGTCTTATCTTACCTTACCTATTACAGAGTACATTATGACACTCAGTACAGACAATTTCGTTCAACTAGCATTAAATGTATTCTTCCAGCAGATTTTTAGATATTTAGGGGCTAAGGTATGCATAGAATTTTAAAAAATATCTTAAATTTAAAGATCTTAAGCAGTGGCACTGGAGCTCCATAGTCCAGAAGTCAGAGTTTTCAGGCACAGGCAAATCTTTAGTCAAGTGTGGCTGGGATTTCCCAAGTGACATGAATTGCTGGAGTACAGTTAGCACAAGTTTCCTAAGATTGCAACAGTTATTCTAAGGACCTGCTGGACACAGCTTGTACTGATGTCAGTGTTTAGTGCACACTGACCTTCAGTCAGTGCTAACTCTCCTGTAAAGCACTGCAGGACTTATAATGTGTCAGTGAAAGTCCTTATTCTTTGCATTTGGAATTTGGACAATTTCAAATATTATGAAAAAACTACATGGAAAATAAAAGTTTTGTGTTCACTGTGGTTGCAAAAATTCTATTATGTGCATTATGTGCACATACAGTACAGTAATATACACTATTATGTGCATTTTTAATGCCAATGTGTATTTTAATACGTTTTCATAGAAAAAACTTTAAAAAAGTAATTCTGCAATTATTTATTGTTTGCTTCTATAATCCTGGTTGATAAATAAGAACATTATTGCCATACACAGTGAAAACAATACTGTTTTTGTTTCTCAATGCACATGTAAAACTATTTGCATTTTTGAAAACAGAAAGGAACACAATCAATCATATTGATATCTGAAGCCTTTTAGAGGATCCGCTACATTTTTCTCTAAAGGTTTAACAGGATCACTTTACTGAACTACTTACAGATCGTCGTCAAACATGAATGGTTTAATATTATGTGATTTTAGTTTATTTCAATGAAAGACATCCACACTTCAGATTCATCCTTTTCTAGTTTTCACAATCTGTTCAGCCATTAATTAAAACAAAATAAAAATCATGCATCCATTTCAGTTTTGTGTCATAAGCCTCTACAACGCTAAAAAGCAAAAAGTAGGTAGCACATATATGTGCAGAGTTGCCCAAAACTGATGAATAAAATCGCCATAGTAAAGCGGCTACCAGTTAATGATAAAGTTCCATAACATTTAAAATGGCTGGTTTGATGACTGGTGTTTCAGTGCATTTCGGATCATTTCTATAGAGCTGCATATGCTTAGTTATATACTTCTAGTATGTAAACTATTAGTTCACTTAAAAGTATTTTATGAAAAATGACACATTGCATTTTAAAAGAGTGAATTTTTTCCTCCATTTACTTGAACCATATAAATGATAACAATAGGAATGGCAGTAATGTTATTTTTAAAGGACATCATTTGCAGTATTTTAATGCCTCTTGGTATGGATAGTAATACATTTCCCACAATTTTTATTGGTTATATAAATATAATTTATATTTAGATTTAAAACTATTGGAATATAGTGTATATGGAACGCAGGGGACATATCTTTTATATTTTGCTTTTCTAATAGTAATTTTACTCTTGTATATTTAAGCATCTACCACAAGCCTTTGACAGATCTAATTCCTATTCAATAAACTATTTTTTACATTTAAAATGTATCTACTAGTGAATTTCTAAAACATTCAGAAAAACACATGACTTGTTTAGTCTGTCACTTATATATTAAAGAATTTAATAAAGATTTAAAAGATAATAAAATGGATTTTCAAAAACTGAATAAAAATAGAACATTAAAGATTAGAATTAGCTTAGAGGAATTAAATGATTAATGGCTGCAAATATTTTAAATAATAAAAAAATGATATAATTTGTCATGTTACCTCTTTTACACTGCTTCAATTAATCTCTGAAAGCAAACCACTGAATAGAAGGCAGCTCCGCTGACCTTTCTCTAATACTGTAACTGAGTGTGCTGCATAATTATTTAAGCTCATGTTCATTAGTGTTACATGCAACCCCATCCTAAAAGTGCTCTTAATGTAACATTAGTTTACTGGAAGGTACATTACAAATGATAAACGTGAATTGCTGAATCTTAGCAAATTATTGCTAAGCCCTGTTAAGCGTTCTCAAACAATAAACTAGAGATTTTATGATTCATGCTAAACCCATCAGTCCTTTTATTGTAAACATTTTACATAGAATGATGTCCTTAAAAGTGTCTTTGAAGTACCTTTTGCATTGTGAAACCTTGATATTCATGGCTTTACAAAAACGTACTAAAAAAGATTTGTATTTTTTGCAATATGAAACAAGCTACAGTATGTGATTAATGTACCCCTCTTTATGATAGTATGTTGTATAAATGCTTATATGCAAAATATTAGAGAAATATTTATAAACTGAGGCACACACTATTTAATTACATTAGTTATCTGTCAATACTACTGTTTATTCCAAAAATAAGTCAGAGGCTAATGCGGACATTAATGTAACCTTAACTACACTATGTGAGAAAGAGGCTGTTAATTGAATAGAAAGTGAGTTTATTCTAACCTAGGCCTGGAGTTGGTTTTTTAGAAACCCTTTTTACAGACAACTCTTCAGCTTGGTACAGGCATTCCCCAAGCTACAAACATGCTCAATAAGATATTATTCTTCAAGGTGGGATTCTAATTAAGTGGTGTTCAGTCATAATTCGACAGATGGGAGCTTCTCAGCATCCTCAACCAAACACAGAACCCAACTGTCTGAACCTGCAGTTCCTCTCATACTGAGCAGGATTACTACTGCAATAACACATCATCCATAGGGTAAAATAACCTGTCTCGTGACATGAGATATATGTATGCTAACCCGTACATGCTCTTTTCTAGAATTAGAACTACTTGCAGCAGAAAACTGTATCATGTATCATGCTACATACCAGGGAGAGAAGCACAAGTTCACTGTATTTGTGAGACAGAAAGCCAGGACCCTAATCACGGCTAAAAATGTAAGAACAGTGCTAGTGAAACACCTACCTGTATATCAAAGAAAAAAGAAAGCCACAATTGTATGATAAAATAAAAAAATATAAGATAGCATTCAAAGATGGAAGAAAGACTAGTAAAGTGTTTGTAAAATGCACCTAGTTAAAATTTCATGCAGCAGAAACATTTATCAAATCAATTATTTAATTTCATGGTTTCAGCTATGTTGGTTACTTAAGATGTCTTCAATGGAAATCAGTAGAACTCTGGCACTTAAACCAAATAAAGGAAGACAAACATATACAACCCCCTTTTTCTCACTGCAAAACTAAAGCAGAAACTATATTCATAAAAGAATGTTAGGTCATTGTTAAATGAAGCAGCACCTTTCAATGTTTTCATTCTAATTGCTCAGACAGAAATGTGATATAAAACAATTGGGCCTCTGTGCAAAGGGGTATATTAAAACAAGAACATTAAAAATTCTATCCCCTATTTCTACCAGTGAGACCACTGAAGGCTAAAAGGGCTTAGGACTCTGGGCCCAACTTAGTCAAACCATTAGATTTGAGGAATGATCATATTAACATTGTGAAAGTTTGCATTTGATGCCACAGTGCTTAAATGGCCCACAGAATTACAATTACAATTACAAAGTAGTGGTAACAGTTAGCCAGAATGAGGTCAAAGACTGTATTACTGACTTTAGCTCAAACTGACGTGGGATTCAGAGTTTAATGTTGAGTCCTGAAATCCAGTCCTTGACTTGAATGTTCTCTTGATGAGCTGTAACGCTAGCAGCACTGGGACTTGCTCTCTGCTGCCACAGCTTCCTGGTCCAGTTTCACCTTGTCTCCATTACTGTCCTCATAAGGCAAGCCCTTGTCATTGGCTAGGATGTTCTCCACCAGGAAATGGGCAGCTTCATCCACATTTATGTTATCCTGAAACACAGCAAAACAGACAGTGAGGGGTGGCACGTCAGATGCAGTGGTGTTAATTAAATTACCACAACTGCGAGGTAAAAATAACTGTAAGTTGTTCACTACAGTCTACCTTTCTGTATGTGACATTACAATTTAATCTTAAATAAAAAAACATAAAAGTATTAAAATCTAAATGTTTAATGTTGATTTGGGGAAATGTTTTCATTTTAGTGATCAAAAGAAGATAGACCCTAACTTAAATTTTACAGTGAGAACTAACCCTTAAAAAAGTAAAATAAAATACCTAAAATCATTCATTGTTTTTTGAACTGCTTCTTACATTTCAGAACTTCCAGAGTCCAATCCCAGCATGTAGCGGGTGCAAGACAGGGTATACCCTGGATGGGACACCAGTCTATCACAAGTCAGACAAAGAAATGCGCACACTCAAACCAGGGCCAATTTTTCCCAGAAGTCAATTAACCTACCAGTATGTTTTTGGACTGTGGGAGGAAACTGGAACACCCGGAGAAACTGACATAAACATGGGGAGAACATACAAACTCCATGCAGACAGGACCCAGGATTGAACCCAGGACCCCAGTACTGCAAAACAGCAATGCTAACTATTGTGCCTAATACCAAAAACCAAAACCAAAAAATAGAACAATAGGTTTATTACTTCTTAATAGAACCAAGCCCATCAGTTTACATTATAAGCAATCTCAAGCCTGTATTGTTTGAATATGAACATTAACTGGATCCTTAAGCACATTTAACTTTACTAAATGCTGAACCTAAATATTAACTGATTATATTCCTGTTGCTTAGTTATTTCTTATAACTGTCTTATTTAGTTATACAGCATTTGATTGGGCTGACTGTGAGAATAAAAATAAATAAAATAATATTCCTCACTTCCTTAAGCGCATCTGCGAAAAAAACATCAGTTCCTGCCAAATAACTAGTATTTAGTCCTCTGACACTGAGGTTCTAAAGGGTCTAGGTTATATGACATTTTATTACCATAATAATGCATAACTTAATTATGTTTAAAAAAATAACACTCTGGAGAAGGAAGCCATCACACCCTGATGGAGGAACATGATTCCTGATCAATAAAAAACACCGGAAGTATGGTTAACAATGACTGAAAAATCGCTAGAGAAATATTCAATGAAGTCACTATACACTGAAACAGTGTTTTATTTACTGTGTCCTGTTAGAAATTACATTGTAAGATTCACATCACATTTCCCTGATGATTTTTTTTCTAGTTGTATTTATTTTTGTATTGGATTTATTTGGTGATGTAAAATTGCATAATACATTGTGTTCCACATTTTTGGTATTCATTTTGTAATGACTTATATCTCTTTAAATCATAATTAGCAAAACTGGAATCCAGTGATAATTGTATGCTATTCACCTCAGTGCTGCAGAAAATAAAGTTTAGTATGTCTATCAAAAAGATAAATGCACAATCACATCGATTTGTAAAATGGGGACTAAAGTATACTGTAGGTCAAATAGGCTCCTAGATCAGTGATCACCTGCAAAATTGTGCTGGTGGTTTTGCAAAACACTCAACAGTTGTGATGTGATGTGAAAAGCACTTTGGCCCATTTCTTATTTTGCTGGGTTTTATTGCTTTAAAGTTGGAAACAGAATTGGCTGAACGCAAGATCAAAAAGGAGATCAAGTGAAAAAAATAAACACAGAAACTGCAAAACACTATATATGAGTCTGGAAAGCAATAACAAAACAGGATCTGCCTCCCTTATGTCAGTCATGGACTACATCCTATTACAGACACTTTCTCATTTTAGGTGTGTATGACAAAAACCATAACTGGAGAAAAGTCTGAATCAAAGGGACGTTGAAAGAAAATCTCTCGTTATTAGGCTGAACTGTAGTATTGAAGCACAGCAGGAGCAAAATTAAGGGAAAAAAAAGATGACAGCACCTTGACAAGAAGTCAATAAGGACAGAAGTCAGTGATGGATGATTTCATCAGGTGATATTTAGCCCAGCAGTTGCAAAGTATTTTTCTACTTCAAGCACCTGAAGGAGCCAATTTCCACACAGGTGTCAACAGAGATCCAAACAGCTAAATCACATTTAACTAAAAATGCTTCCTTTTTCTCCAATTCTGTGTAACCAAATAACAAACCACATAAAAAATCTGCTCTATTTGAGAGTAAAACACCTAAAAATGAACTTTTAGTCTGAGAATTGTATTCTGCTATTCAGCAACAACAAAGATGTTGGATAAATACTGACCAGTAAATCAGGTGTAGTGGTAGTGGTAGAAGTAATAATAATAATAATAATAATAATAATAATAATAATACCCACAGAAAGTCAGGACCTTCGTTTTATGTCTCATCTGAAGGATGGCGCCTATTTACAGTATAGTGTACCCATCACTATACTGGGGCATTAGGATCCACACAAACATAGGATGAGCGCCACTAACACCTAGTTAGTGGCCCCACTAACACCTCTTCCAGCAGCAACCTTTTCCCAGGAGGTTCCCACTCAGGTACTGACCAGACTCACACCTGCTTAGCTCCAGTGGGTTGCCAGTTGTGAGTTGCAGCTGGTGTAACATCCAAAACTCCAAAATACAATAACTGAACCCTTTAATTAGGAATATGATTGCAATTATCTTGGGGCACTGTGCTGTAGTGATGTTAAAGCACTTTAAGTTGTCTGAACATTAAATTAAATTATTATACTAAGGACTTGCTCAAAACACACAGCGGTATCTGAGGAACACAACGAATGGCCTTCCTCTTCAGGGATTATCCCGTTATGTGGCAGTGTACATGATGTGACTGTCTGACATTACATCAATTCCAAGTCATATACAGTAGATGACCAAACTGATATTTTGTTAATCTCGCTGCTCTGAATAGGCCTACATTCCTGATGTACTTATTTATTTAAAATAAAATAAGGCAATATTATTTTGCCTGGCTAAAGTGAACAAATAAATGTTTTGTTTTAGATACTTTGTCTAGGCATGTGTATGGAGTACATTCACAAAAATGCACAGTATAATTCTTGTATTTGCAAACCATTTGCTATAGTCTTTATAACATTTTAGCATAATATAAAACGTACACTAACAAATATCTTGTGTATATGTAAAGCACAGGAGTCACAAACTGATTAGCACAGGTCAATAAAGAGGGTGAGAATTTTCAGATCACAACCCCCAACGTGTAAGGATTTCTGCCAGAATATACCCGAGCAGTTGGTATAGAAAACTCCAGCCTGATACCAAGTACTGGACTATTAAAAATGCCTACTGTGGTCAAAGAGGAGATAAGCTGCCTTCTAAACTAAACAGAACTTATGATTAAACCAACCTCTCTCTCTAACCTGGATGCCACAAAATAAATGAGAGCCCATCTCCTTATTCTACTATGCATCCACTAGCAGGAGAGGCAGTATTAAACTGAGGAGTTATTCTCTAAAAGCTACAGAATAGCAATCTCTCTTAGCAAGATCCAAATACTTAGCTCCAACCGGGTCTTTTCTGATGATCTTGAACATCTGTCCTTCTTTTTTTGCTCTCCTTCTCTTGATCTGATCTGTTTCTGGACTGTTGATTGACACTTAACTAAAGTGAACTTTATGAGTACTTTAATTAGACTCTAGAACCCCTACATCTCTGCTTTGAAGCTGGAAATGTTTACACAGCCAGGTGTAACACACTTTATCTAGAGCCTTAGACACCTCCATTGTCACCTACAGTACCTCACCCTGTAAAATATAATCATATATTTCTGGATAATCCTTAAATGTGCTGTTTTAATTGTTTTTTTTTTAATTTAAAGATTCATTTATATACTGTGCAGAGTTAGGCAGGACTGTTGACAAAGTGTGCTGTGCAAATTGCACAGGATACAAGGCTTCAGTAAATGAAAAGGTTTAATCTTCCTTTGTACATGCATGCACATTTTCATAGCTGTGCAAGAATTAGACAGCTTAGCCCCAAACAGTAATTACAACATATGCATATAATAAGCATCAGAGCCTCTGCTGGTGTGTTATATGTTAACAACTTTCACCATTATTAACACAGCTTAGCTGTGTGAGAAGGAACCACAATTTTGTTCCTTAGAAAACTGTAAATCACATTGATCAGAACCTACAAAACCTGTTTTTTTGCACTACACATCGATAAATTAACAAGGCTACAAATCAGGGATTTTTGTACTACAAAATACTGCTCTTTCAGAATTATCCTAACAACCAAAGTGAAATGAGATTGACAGAAATTTACTTAGCAGTGTACAGCATGCACAGTGAGAGTTTGATGTCAGAAGTTTTGTCAGCTTTTAAGGTTAAACATTCAACCTTACAGATTGGAGCGAACCTGACCTCTTTCCTCTAATGAATCTTTCCAGTTATGAAAGGGGAATAATGTCTGAAAATAAATTAAAAACTCAATCAATTTGAAGAAGAAAATAATAAATACAATGAAGGTAATTTAGTGAACAATCTGGAAGCGTCAGCCTAGAAATAGACCAGTCTCAGATATTTGATGCAAGGTTTCTGCGTGTGACCAGGTGACACAAAGTCAAATGGGTGGAACATGGATGATATACAGTACGGATAAAGTGAAATGTCACTGAAGCAGAGACAAAGTTAGGAATACCCTATATACTGTATATACAAAATGTCCATTTTGCAGTCAATACAGTAGCTCAAGAACATGTCCTGAATAAGAATGTGTTTTTTTCAGTATATGTTTCAATACTAGATCAACATCTAAGAAAATGCAATAACAACCAATTTTATATATAATTAAAAAAACATCTGGATTTTAGGGAAAGCTAGGTAGTTCTGCCTCTTCCATGACTTCACTTTTTTCCCATTCTTCTGCAACTGTGTTAAATAACCTTTTGCTATAATTACTGTAACTGAGCATTATAGCATTATAGTCTCAATCTGCAGCTGTGCTGCAAAACACAAAGAGTTTACAGCATCATAGTAAGACTGCC